AGGGGAAGAAGTATTTAGCCACTTATTTGGGCATTTTTTCCCCCTGTTTATCCTCCCCCTTCCTCGGTTTTCAAGGGCGATTTTTGTTATAACCACTTGATTTTTATTTTATTTTACAAATAGGGTATGAATAATGATATAGTAAATTAGAAAGATGGAACACAAGAAAGTGAATATAAAAAGAATCAGATAGGAAAATCTAATATAGGTATATTGGATCTCTTTTCATAAATAGGAAATCAAACTTATTCGATGATCTACTGTAAGCTTAAAAATATTTATTAGAGTGGAGGGAAAGGGATAAAAAGATCATGACAAGCGATCCAAGAAGTACTTTAAACCTTCACCCTTTTCTCTCCCCTTTTCATGAGTTTTATCAAAATATCAAATTATAAAAACAAACAGTTTATTCTTATGAAAATATATTTCAAAAATGCTACTGAGATATCCCATTAGAATCATAATGAACTATGCACGTCAAAAATACACGTTTTAAAAAAAACGCATATATGTTTATATGTATGTGCGTGTGTCTATAAATATTGAGCTTTATAATTACTGAAAATAGATGTTATTGATGAAGAAAGATATATTAGCCTTTTTCTCAAACTTTTTTCTCCATAATGCTCCTTGTGGAGCGAATTCCTGCTTGTATCTTTCTTTTTCTTATATTATCTTTGTTGCCCATTTTGTACTTGTAAAGCATTAAAAATACCATTCGTTTACGTGTGTGTAATCGTGCGGGACTTTTTTAGCCTCTCGTTTCTTTTTTTCCGAATCTCTAATATACACCTACGATCCTTTGCGCGTTCTAATTTTTTATTCTCATATTACTTTTGATTTTTATGGCTCAAGTAATTGTTTTTAAGGAGTTCAAATTTACTAGAGAGACGTCAGATTTAATATTTTACTGAGGTATTTTTTTTTCACCTAAATATATAAAAAAAAGTATCCCACAATCCAGACTTCACTTTTTTTTTTAGTTTACATATTAATCTCTGGTTCTTTATTATTTCACCTTTTTTTTTTTTGAACATCAACGTCGAATAAAAAAAAAAAAAGGGAAACTTTAGCATTTTCTGCTAACACTAACTCCCGGCTCTTGTAACGTCTTGGTAACGCGTACTAAGAACGCACACCCACCCACATTCTCCCGCCTTTTCCGGTATTGAATTATTCATCGAAGAAGGCGGACGAACCTATCGCTTGTTAACGTTTTACCAGCTCGACGCCGAGGCGATTGACCCCCCTGTTAATGCGTCGAGAAGGGAGTTTATTTTTGTGGCGTCGCGTCGCGATGGCGAGGCGGGGTGGTCCTCGCGCCTACTGCACCATCGAGTCCGCCTCGCCGCACCTGCCGCCCCACTTTTGGGCGCCCCCTCGCCGAGCGGCGCTTTTCGTTCATTCCGTTCTTGACGACCCTTTGGCGCGAAGGGGCGCGGGGGAGGGGGTGCGTGGGTTGGATGTGCGGAGCCTCGGGGTGACCGCGGCCCCCTCCTCCGCCGCGGCCTCCTCCTCCTCCTGCGCGGCCGTGGGGCCTTCGCGGGGGTCCTTCGCGGGGGC